GTCGTCCGCCGCGGGCACTTGAGAGATGCTGCGGCGACGCGGACGGCGCTGAGACGACGACGTCGCCCCGCGTCCGCGCGGTCGCCGCGCGGAATCGGCGCGCGCGCGATCCACGCGCGCGCCGCCGTGGCGGAGGTCGCCATCGTGGATTGGATGGACGACGCGCTCGATGCGTGACGTGCCGTGCGGTGGCGTCGACGGCTTTGCCCGGCGGCGGAGGCAATGTCATTTCGAGGGTTTCGTCAGCGGTCGGCCGTGCCGGTCGTCGCGCTGCGCTTTGTGCGCTTTTTCTGTCGGCGCGACGGCAGTCGCGTCGCGCGCGCCTCCGCAGACGATGAGGCTCGCGCTCCCCGCCCTCAGAAGCGCGGCGTCGACGGCGTCGCGGCGGTCCGCGAGTCGAGCGGCGGCGACGGTCCGAGGCGCGCCGTCGACCGCGGCGGCAGCGGCGGCGATGCGACGGCGGGGACGCGGAATCTCAAACGGACGCCGTGGACGACGCGGAATCTCGCTCTTCTCGGCCACCGCGTCGTCGTCGTCCTCCTCCTCCTCCTCGACCCCCGCGTCTTCGATCTACGGCAACCCCGCGCTCTACGAGCTCGCGTTCGGGTTCAGAGACTTCGACGACGAGGTCGCGTTCGTGAAGCGCGTCAGCGAAACGCTCGGCGTCGGCGCGTTTCGCTCGATGCTCGAGCTCGGCGCCGGCCCGGCGTGGCACACGACGTCCGCGGCGTCCATCGACGGCGTCCGCGCGGTCGCGGTGGATCTCGACGCCGCGATGGTGACGCGCGCGAACGAGCGCATCGAGGAGGCGGGTTTGGGATCGCGCGCGACGGCGATGCGCGGCGACATGATCCGTCTCGACGTCGACGCGACGCGACGCGCGCTGGCGGAGATGATGGGGGGTCCCGGCGGCGGGGCATCCGACGAAAGCGACGGCTTCGACGCCGCGTGCGTGCTCCTTGGAACCGCCGCGCACCTCGTGGAGACCGCGGACGCGATCGCGACGTTCGAGTCGATCGGGAGGTGCCTCAAGCCCGGCGGCGTGTGCGTGCTGGAGCTGGAGCATCCCTACGACCTCTTCGACGGGGGATTGTTAGGCGCGTCGTTCTTTTCTACGCGACACTGGTCCCCATACGACCGCGTTCGCGTTGTGAACTTCATTCCTTAAGGACTTTCTCTCCCGGCGTTCGTTTCTCTTCGACACTCATCCCTCGCTTTCAATCCTTCAATCCCGAAACGCCTCGACGCCTTTCGACTCCGCTTCTGACGCCTTTGAACTCCACCCCGACGTCGCTTCGTATGGGCAAACACCCTTCCTCGTCAGACCCGACCGGGGACGCGTGGGACCGCGCGTTCGAGGATAAGCGCGTGCTCGTGGAGTGGGGACGCGAGGGCGACGCGTTCGACGTCAAGACGCACGTCGTCACGCGGACGGTGGGGTTGAACGTCGTCGACACGGTGAAAGGGACGCCGGTGAAAGGGTGGGACCCGGTGGAGGAGCGGGTTCGGTGCAGAATTTTCACCCACCCGGAGGTGGCGTTGATAGGGGACGTCGCCGGGTTCGACGTCGTGGAGACGTTCGGGGACATGAAAGGCGAGCACGGGTTAGAGGACGAGGACGCGCAGAACATGGTCATCGTGTTGAAGAAGAGATGAGACGCGACGATCAGACCGAACGCGAACGCGAACGCGAACGCTCTCTTTAAATACGACGCCGTAGTCTACCGGCTGGCGTCACGTTTTTCTACTACAGTTTGAGTACTCGTAGCGCGGCTAATAAATCGGTCGAACGCCCTCTCCCTTCAGCATCAACGTCACCCTCTCCGACTTGGTCAACACGTCGTCCCAGACCTGCGCTTCCTTTCGCAGCTCCTCCCCGAGCGCGAGCGCGTCTCGAAGCGCGAGCAGCTCGTCCGAGCTGTCCATGTCGAGCTCCACGCCCGCCGACGTCATCCCTTTCGGATTCAACCCCAGCCTCGCCGCGAGCTCCACGACGTCGCCGTCCGCGGCGGCCACCTCCGAGGCGTAGTGCGTCGCGACGGCGCACGGGCGACACCGGACGCCCTTGTGCATCTTCGCCGCGAGGTGGCACATCGCGTCGGACTCCTCGAATCGAGACGCGAGCGGGGAGACGCCGGCGAGGACGGAGAGCCGCCCGGACCCGCCGAACGCGTGCGCCATCAGACGCTGTGGAACCACGTGGAGGTGATCGATTGGTCAGCGTGCGATCCGACGTGAAGACGTGGAAGAAAGATTCGATGACGTGTAAGAAAGATTAGATGACGTGGAGGGAAGCGCGGTGGAGAACGCACCGTGAGTTTCGAATCGCGGTGCGGGACGTGCGACCGCGCGTCGTGGAGGCTGTCCACGACGCGCGTCAGCGCCTTCAGCGCCGCGTCCTCCGCGGCGCCGCCGCCGCCCGAGCCCTTCTTCCCCCCCGCGGCGCCGCCGCCGCCGCCGCTCCTGTCCACGCCCGCGAAATCGACAATCTGCACGCGCGCGACTGTGGGTCGTTCCATACGAGCGAACGTCGGGGTGGAGTTGAAAGGCGTCAGAAGCGGAGTTGAAAGGCGTCGCGGTAGTGGATCGAAAGCGAGGGACCCTGGGCGGAGAGAGACGACGGCAAACGTCCTTAAGGAACGACGTTCACCACGCCAACGCGGTCGTATGGGGACCAGTGTGAAGGAGAACGCGCCCGTCTCGCGATGCGGCAGAAAGATGCCCTCGTCGTCGCACTCGCCCTCCCTCGTCCGCCTTCGCACGTTCACCTGCAGCAGACAGTGCACGCGCTCACCGGACCCGGACCCGGACCCGGACCCGCCAGACCCTCCACACTGCGCCTCCTCGTGCTTGAACCCCGCGAGCGCGGCGGCGACGAGCCGCTGGAGCTCGTCCGCGTCCGTCGCGACGACTTCGATCGCGCCCTCCGCGAAAAAGCCGCGCGTCGGGTGTTCTCGCACGTCGATGCGCGTCGGCGCGCTCTCGCCGGCGCCGTGAAACGCGCTCCGCACGCTCCGCGCGCCTTCGCCTCTTCCGCCTCTGAGTTCGACGCGCTCCGGGTCGAACACGCCGCCGCGCTCGAGCCCGACGAGGTCTAACCCCGTCGCGAGCGCGTCTTTTAAAACCTCGTGCGTTTTTCGTTTGTTCGGATTGATCGCCGACGCGTCCACGGGAGCGGTGATGACGTCCGCGATCGCTTGCAAGGAGACGATGAACTCGTCGTTCTCGCGCTCGCACACGTCCCCGATCGCGGCGAAGACGTCCGCGGCGATGCGCCCGCAGACGCCCATCTGGTCGAGAGCCCCCCCGTTCGCGAATGAGGATCCGGATCCGGATCCGGATCCCCCGCGAACGAGGCTCGATTTCCCGCATCCGTGAATGCCCAAACACGCGAGCGTCGCGCTCACGCCGTCCTCCACCGCGCCCCTCACCGCGGCGCCGAATCCGTCGCGCGCGCACGGGTTCGATCCGGACGGGATCGCGCCGGTCGCGACGCTCCCGCCGCGGCGCATGACGACGCTCGCCGGATCGGGATGCGCGCCCGTGGGCTCGGCGTCGACGCACGCGCTCGCGGCGTGGCGGCGTCGGATCGACTGGAGTTCATAGGCGTCAGATGGAGTTGAAAGGCGCCGAGGTGTGTCGGGATTGAAAGCGAGGGATGAGCGGAGAGAAACGCCGGCGGGTGGAAAAGTCCTTAAGGATCGGCGAGCACAACGCGTGCGGGGTCGTATGGGAACCAGCGTGAGATAGAACGCGCCGTCTTCGGGCGGCACATCGTGACGGTCACGCCGCCTCCCGCGGCGAACGACCCCTCCGGCGCCGCCGTCACCGACATCGTCGTCGGCTCCGTCGCGTCGTCGTCGTCGTAGTTCTTTCCTCCTTCTCTTCCTCCTCCTCCGCCTTTCGACCTCGCGCCTCCTCTCGCCGCACTCTTCGCCGGCGCTCCGAATACGATCTTCGGGTTCACGCTGCCGCGGAGGAGCGCCACGTGCGCGGGCTCCTGCGGCGGTTTCGGCGCGCGACGGGATGAATGCGACGACGCCGACGAAGGCGTGGACAGGTTGGACCGCGCGCTGCCTGGTCGATGAAGAAGCCCGCCGCCGCCGCCCGCGAATCGATTCTGAAGGCGCGACGCCGGCTGCCCCGGGGTCAAACCGTGCGCGCGCGACCCCGGGCGGTCGGCGCTGAGGGGCCCGCCGCCCGGGGTCGCGGCGTACCGACGCGCGTAGGATCCCGAAGAACCGCCGCTCCACGGCGTCATCGGGGGCTTCCCCGCGGACGGGAGCGACGACGACGACGGCGACGCGTCGACGAGGTCGTCGTCGTCGTCGTCGTGATTTCGCGACGGCGCCGGCGACGGCGCCGCGGACGCGACGCCGACGCGTCCGCTCGACGGCCGCGCCGCGGACCGCCGCGCTTTCAGCGCCGCGAGCCGGTCCGTCGTGCTGCTCCGCGGCGGCGCCGCGTCGCCGCTGGACGGATAAGGACGTTGATGGTGATGGTCCGCGCCCCGAGATCCTCTCGCGAGATCCGCGGAAGATGATGATGGCTCCACGTTCTCTTCCTCGCCGAAGCGCGCGCCGAGGCTCCGCGCGACCGCGCCGCCGGCCTCGCGCTTGCTTCGGAACCGCTCGAGCGCGGACGTGCGCGGCCGCGACGACGACGACGACGGCGGCGGCGCGCTCATGACGAGACGACGACGACGACGACGCGCGCGCGATGCTGTGACGCCGCGCACGCTGGCGGTCAACGATTCGAACGGAAACATTCGCCGCGCCGTTGAAGTGCCGAGTGGTGGTGGCCGCGTCATAAGCCCAAATCGTCGTCCCGGCGCCTCGCGACGGACGCACTCCGTCGCGCGCCGGCCGCGATGGCGCCCAAGGTTCCGGGCGCGGTGACCGTCGCCGGCGGGCTCGCCGCGGTCGCGGGTGCGCGCGCGCGCCGCCCCCCCCTCCGCGTCGCTCGCTCGCTCTCCAATCCGACCGCGCCCCTCCCCCCCCCCAACGCCCGTCGTCGACAGCGCTCCCTCGAGAGGACGCCGCGCACGCGGCCGCCGCGCTCGGCGCGCTCGGCTCCCTCGGCGTCCTCCTCGGCGTCTACCGCATGCCGCTGAATCGCTGCCGGTGCTCGAGGGAAGCGCGCGACGAGGCCGCGGCGCGCTCCTCTAAGCGGGGGGACTCGGGGTCGAAGAAGCGTCACGGCGCGCGTCGGATGCTCCCGCGGCTGCACTGCGGACGGTGCCTGAAGCGCACGCGCGGCGGGATCGCGGTGTCGTTTCTCACGTCGCCGATCTACTGCGCGTGCGCGGCCGTGGGCATGACGCAGGCGGCGCACGTCGTCGGGACGCCGCTGCTGGAGAAGATCGTCAAGCCGGCGGTGAGGAAGGCGCGATCGATACGAGGACGAGGGCGAGGCGGGGACGAGAGGTAGAGGAGCTAGGATCTAGTTGTGGATGCGACTCGGCGAGAAGACGGCACGCGAAAACGCGCGCGAAATCCGTTCAAAAACCAAACTGTCATCGCCCCTCGGACGCCGCGACGACCGCGCGTCGTCGCGCATCACTCCGCGACCGCGCGGCGCCCCGTCGTCCGTCATGGCGCACGTCGACGCGTCCCCCCCCGTATCGCCGGCACCGGACGTCGTCGCGGTCGCGCCGCCGCCGCACCCCGGGAAACTCGCGCACGCGCGCGTGGAGCGCGCGCGATGGAAAGAGCGCGTCGTCGCCGCGCGCGCGGAATCAGATCGACCTCTGCAGACGCTCCGAGAGAACGCCGCGCGTCATCGTCCCGCGCCTTCCTCACCGCGGCCGGATTGGGTCGGCGGCGCGACGCGCGAATACGAGGACGAAGAAGCCCCGCGGACTCGCGCGGCGGTGACGTGCCACGACTCCGTCACCGGACAGAGGCTGTTCGTCGCGCGTCGCGTGCATCGTCGCGAGACGCCGCACGCGTCGACGGCGACGACGACGCGAACGGACGACGACGCGATCGACGACGACGCCGACGACGCGTCGACGCAGCCGGTGCTGTTCGCGGGCGGCGGCGACGTCGCGACCGCGCTCGCGTCGCGCCTGCTCGACGGCGGCTTCCCGCTCGTCCTCGCCGCGGCATCGTCGTCGCCGTCGTCGCCGTCGTCGCCGTCGTCGTCGAACGAGGAGCGTCTCCGGTCGCGCGGCGCGACGCTCGCGTCGTCCGTCGCCCACGGCGCGCGCCTCGTCCTCGGCGCGTGCGCGAAGGTGGGTACGCCGAGGCGGTGGGGCCCGGGCGAGCGCGCGAAGGCGCTTCGGGACGCCGCGAGGCCCGGCGGCGGCGGCGGCGGCGGCGGCGCCGCCGCCGAGCCGCGCGCGCGTGCGAAGTGCGTTCTATACACTGGTCCCCATACGACCGCGTTCGCGTGGTGAACGCCGATCCTTAAGGACTTTTCCCGTCGTCTCTCTCCGCCCACCCCACGGTTTCAATACCCGCCCTCGACGCCTTTCAACTCCACCTGACGCCTTTCAACTCCAGTCCGCCGAAACCGCCGCTTTTGGTCGCGATGTGCGACTCCGAGCGCGAGTTCATTTCGCGCGTGCTCGACGAGCTCCTGCGAGGAGACGACGAGCCGATGGAGGCGTCGTTCAACACGCCCGGCGGCGAACCCGCGATGTGCGTGTTGAACCTGACGCCGATGCCGCCGCTCGCGGTGGACCGCGCGAGGTGCGATTTCCTTACACTGGTCCCCATACGACCGCGTCCGCGTGGTGAACGCCGATCCTTAAGGACTTTTCCCGGCGTCTCTCTCCGCCCATCCCTCGCTTTCAATACCCACCCTCGGCGGCTTTCAACTTCAACTGACGCCTTTCAACTCCACAGGGCGCGTTTGAACGCGGTCGGGATCGAGTTCGTGCAGGGCGCCGTCGCGTCGCGAGACGCGAGGGACGCCGTCGACGGCGGCGCGCACGTGTTCGTCGCGGGGGGTAGGCGGCGCGGTGGTAGGGTCGGGGTCGACGGGCTCGGCGGCGAGGACCGCGACGACGACGGCGGCGACGACGACGACGACGACGACGCGACGGTTCATCCCGCGTTCGTCGACGTCGACGCGGCGTTGCGCGCGATGACCGATCGGGCGTACGTGATCGAGGGCGCGGACGCGACGGCGGCGGCGTCGACGAGAGTCGTCAAGGCGTGGAGCGATAACTTCGCGGACGCGGTGTCGAGGTATCGCGTCGAGGCGAAGGAGGCGACGAGGGCGGCGGAGGCGCAGCGGCGGCGCGCGGACGCGGCGGAGCGGGAACTGTCGCGGTTGGAAGTCGCGTCCTGCGCGGCGGCGAAGAAATGCCGCGCGACGGAAGACGAGCTCGCGCGCTTACGCGCGACGCGCGCGCAGACTGAAACGCGCGCGAGCGAAGCATCACGAGCGGCCGCGGCCGCGGTGGCGGCGGCCGAAGCGCGCGACGCGGAGACCGCGGCGAAGATCGCGAAGGCGACGGCTGACGCGCGCGACGCCGCGGACGCGGCGCGGAGAGACGCGAGCGCCGCGGAGGCGTCGCGCGCTGCGCTCGAGCTCGAGATGGCGACCGTCCGCGAGGCGCTCGCGGCGGCGCGAATTCGCGCGGACGCGGCCGAGGCGCGCGCGACGCGATCCGACGCCGCGGTCGCGGACGCGGAGCGCCTTTCGGCGGCGGCGTTTGAGGCGGCGACGCGCGAGGCGAAGGACGCGAAGGACGCGCGCGATTCAGGCGCGTTCTATACACTGGTTCCCATACGACCGCGTTCGCGTGGTGAACGCCGATCCTCAAGGACTTTGCCCGGCGTTTCTCTCCGCCCACCTCTCGCTTTCAATCCCCGACCTCGGCGCCTTTCAACTCCATCTGACGCCTTTGAACTCCACCCCGACTTCGCTTTGTATGGAACGACCCTCAGCTCGCGTCGCGGAGACCGCCTCGATCGCGCGCGCGGACGCCGCGGACGCGCGCGTCGAAGCCCGCGCGGCCGACGAGCGGCGGCGACGCGAGGCGGCGGAGGCGCGCGCGGCCGAGGCGGAGGCGAGCGCGGCGCGGCTCCGAGGCGAAGCGGAGACGACGCGCGCGGAACTGACGTTTGAACGCCAACGCGCGGCGACGTCGGCGGCGAAAGGTGCGTTCTATCTCATGCACACTGGTCCCCATACGACCGCGTTGGCGTGGTGAACGCCGATCCTTAAGGACTTTGCCCGTCGTCTCTCTCCGCCCAGGGTCCCTCGCTTTCAATCCCCGCCCGCGTTTCCTTTCAACTCCGCTTCTGACGCCTTTCAACTCCACCCCGACATCGCTTTGAATGATGGAATGGCCGCGAAAGCCGCCGCGGAGCGCGCGGCGTCGACGGAGGAGAGAGAGACGATGCGCGCCGCGCTCGAGGACGCGCGCGTCCGCGTCGCCGCGCTCGAGGCGTCCGCGAGCGCGTTCGACGCGCGGGGCGACGAGGAGCGGCACGCGAGCGCGATGGAGTCGAGGGCGCTTGCGGCGCGCGTTTCAAAGTTGTGCTCCGAGCTGGAGACCGCGCGCGTCGAACGCGACGGCGCGACGAAAGCGCTCGAGAGCGCGAAGGAGGAGCGCGAGTCGGCGGTCGGCGCGCTGAAGCTGGAGATCGAGCGTTTGAGGGCGACGACGCGCGCGACCCGGGTCGACGCGGGAGAGAAGGAGGAGGAGGAGGACGACGACGAGGAGGAGGAGGACTCTACGGACTCTAAGGGTCGAAAGAAAGGCGGCGCTTCCGCGAGGAGAAAAGCGACTCGGAAAAGTCCAATCGTGAGCGCGGACGCGGCGGGATGGGCGACGGCGACGGAGCAGTGCAAGACGCTCACGACTCGGCTCTACAAAGAGCGCGCGCGCGTCGCGGAGCTCGACGGGAAGCTGAAAGCGTGCGAGTCCGCGCTCGCGGCGCTGCGAAAGACGAGCGATCTCGAGATCGATCGGCTGAAGGGCAAGTTGAAAGCGAGAGGGGTCGCCGTCGCGAGGCTCGAAGCCGAACGCGACGGGTTGAGGACGACGTTGAAAGGGAAGACCGACATCGCGGACGCGTTCGCGGCGAAAGCGCGATCGGACGCCGCGATCAAGAGCCGCCTCGAGAGCGAGCTCGAGAGCGTTCGCGCGACGAGAGACGCGCTCGAGCTTCGCGCGGCGGAGGCGCGAAAAGCGCTCGATCAGGCGCGTTCTATACACTGGTTCCCATACGACCGCGTTCGCGTGGTGAACGCCGATCCTCAAGAAATTCTCCCGCCGCATCTCCACGCCCACCCCTCGCTTTCAATCCCCGCCCTCGACGCCTTTCAACTCCAACTGACGCCTTACAACTCCACCCCGACATTCGCTTGTATGGAACGACCCTCAGAACGCGGCGGCGTCCGCCGCCGCCGTCGCGCGCGCCGACGCCGCGGATGCGGCGCGCGTCGCGCTCGCGACGCGCGTCGCCGAGCTCGAAGCCGCCGAGGCGCAGTCGCGATACGCGATGGCGCGCGTCGCGGAGGATCTGGACCGGTCCGCGTGCGATGCGACCGCGCGCGCGGAGGAGTCGTCGCGGCTTCGGATCGAGTTGGAGGAGACGACGCGGCGACTCGCCGCGGCGCGCGGCGACGGCGGCGACGTCATCGAAACGGCCGTGAACGAAGCGTTACTCGAGCAAGCCGGCGCGCACGAGAAGGCGATGGACGCCCTGCGAACGACGCACGCGTTCGATCTCGAGGAGGCGACGCGCGCGTACGAGGAGACGGTGGCGCGGTTGGAGAGAGAGAAGGAGGACGCGGCGGCGGCGGCGGTGGAAGCCGCAGAGGCGGCGGACGCGATGGCGCGACGAATGGAAGAAGACGCCGCCGCCGCCGCCGCCGCCGCGGTCGCGGTCACGGCGAGAAAGAAAAAGGCGAGAGCGGACGAGGAAGCCGCGGAGGCGCGGCGCGCCGCCGCCGAGTGTCGGACGAGTGTCGGACGGTCGTCGGACGAGAAGCCGCCGACGGCGCCGAAGCCGAAGCCGAAGCGCGCGTCCGACGATCCGAATCCGAATCCGAATCCGAATTCGACCGCCGCCGCCGACCTCGCGGACCCCGCGCTCGTCATGGACGCGATGATCGCGAACGCGGACGAGCTCGACGCGCTCGCGCCCGCGAAGCGCGCGATGGAGGCGTCGTTCCATCGCGTCCCGGAGCTTCGAAGAGCGCTGACGAAGATGGCGGATGGCGCCGCGAAGCCGACCCCCGCCGTCGCCGTCGCCGCGACGCTCGCGTCCATCGTCCTCGGGTCCGCGTCCGGGTCCGGGTCGAGCGACGCCGGGGATGGGCCGTGGGTCACGCGTCTCCCGCCGCGCGTCCGCGACGGCGACTCGCCGGAGCTCCTCGCGGCGTTCGCGATGAAGACGTTCGACGCGAAATTTTTGGCGCCGGAGGTGCGTTCTATACACTGGTCCCCATACGACCCCGTTCGCGTGGTGGACGCCGATCCTTAGGGACTTTGCCCGTCGCATCTCCCCGCCCACCCCTCGCTTTCAATCCCCGCCCTCGGCGCCTTTCAACTCCAACTGACGCCTATGAACTCCACCCCGACGTCGCTTTGAATGATGGAATGGCCCGGAGACGCGGCGGCGATTCGGCGGCGGCCGCGTCGACGCGCTCGCGACGCGAATGGAACGCGCGGACGCGTGCGACGCGGCCGCGCTCGACGCGTCCCTCGCCGCGATGAGAGCGCTCGAGAGGTGCGGGTTCGGGGAGGCGCAGTGGGCGAACTGCGGCGACGCGGTCGCGAGGGCGTTGTGGGAGTGGAGCGCGACGACGACGCGCGTGCGGCAGGTGCGTTTTTTTGGTTTTTTGGTTTTTTGGTTTTTTTGATTTTTTGGTTTTTTTGGTTTTTTGTTTTTTTTGGTTTCGGTCGATCGGTCTTCTGTCGTTCGATTTGGTTTTTGATCGGTCCCGTCTCTCGTTTTCGGTTCGATTTCATCGATTTCATCGCCCGCGTTCGAAACTGACCCGCCGCCCACCGCGCTCCGCGCGTCCGCAGCTCACGATGCGTCAGGCTGAGCTCGAGATGGCGATGGAGGACGCGGAGGAGCGCGCCGCCGTCCAGCGCGGGAGGGCGAAGGCGAGCGGCGCGCCCGCGCGCGGGGAGAGCTCTCCCCCCTCGGTACTGACGTTGTAGGTAGTACACGTCGTTTTTTTAGACTAATTGCTCGGTCGCGAAATCGTCCGTATCAAACGCGGCGTCGGTCGGTCGGTCGGTACCAGCAGGGCGATAAAATCTCTCGCGTCGCGCGAAACTCGTGGTCGACGTGGCTCGTCCTCGCCTTACCCCCTGGCATCTCGTCGCTCCCGAGTCGTCGCCACTCCGCGACTCGCGCGCGCACACTATGGCGTCGCACTGCGCGAAACCCTCCGTGGCGCCATGGCGCGCGCCGCCGCCGCCGCCGCCGTCCTCGCCCTCGACGTCGACGTCCAACCGCGGCGGCGCCGCCGCGGCGACGCCCGCGCCGCGCGCGTCGTCGTCCCCGCGCGCGGTCGCGGTCTTCCGACGCGCGTCTTCGTCGTCGTCGTCCTCGTCGTCGCGCGGGTCCTCGATCCTCGCGCGCGCGGTGGAGACGCGCCAGGGAGTCGGGACCTCCTCCTCCTCCTCCTCCCCGCCGCCGCTCGTCCCCGCGACGCCCCCGCCGTCGTCGCGGATCGTTCCGGGGATCCCCGGCCCCGTGCCGTCCGTCGAATCGCTCGAAGCGCTCGAGATGGAGAAGGGCGCGTGCGAGATCACGTCCCGGCGCTACACCCCCGCGCTCGTGCGCGAGCGCGCGCTTCGCACGCCCGTCGAGGCGATCGCGACCGCGGCGCGAGGCGCGCAGATCGTCCTCGCCGGCGCTGGGTTCGCGGCCGGGCTCGTCTTCGACAAGTTCCGCGCCGCGGAGGACGTCGTGAGCAGGAGCGACGAGCTGAGGATTCTCCTCGCCGAGCTCGGGCCGTCGTTCGTCAAGGCGGGGCAGGTGCTCGCGAACCGCCCGGACATCGTGCGCGCGGATTACATGGAGCAGCTCACGAAGCTTCAGGACGACGTCCCGCCGTTCCCGAACGACCAGGCGTTCGCGATCATCGAGGGCGAGCTCGGAAGGCCGATCGCGGAGGTGTACAGCGCGATCAGCGACGAGCCCATCGCGGCGGCGTCGTTGGGTCAGGTGTACAAGGCGACGTTGCGAGAGACGGGGGAGGAGGTCGCGATCAAGGTGCAGCGGCCCGGGATCGAGCCCATCATCTACCGCGACCTCGTGCTCTTCCGCGCGCTCGCGTTCTTCATCAACGCGGTGTCGCAGCGACGGCTCGGGTGCAACGCGCAGCTCATCGTTGACGAGTTCGGGGAGAAGCTCCTCGAGGAGCTGGATTACGTGCAGGAGGGACGCAACCTGCGCGACTTTTACGCCAACTTTAAGAACGACCCGATCGTGAAGATCCCGAGGCTCTACCCGGAGCAGAGCGGCAAGGCGGTGCTCACGATGGAGTGGATCGAGGGCGTCCGATGCACGGACCCGGACGGGATTCGAGCCGCGGGGATCGACGTGGATACCTTCATTCGCGTCGGCGTCATGAGCGGCTTGCGGCAGCTGCTCGAGTTTGGGCTGTTTCACGGCGACCCGCACCCGGGGAACATCTTCGCGCTGCGGTGCGTCCACGAATTGAATCGCGCGAAACACGTTACGTTTTTGACCCCTTTCACCCGGTCACACCCGGTTTCAACCAATGCTTGATCGCGCCCAGTTTCAGCCGACTGACTGACCGACCGACGCGCGGAATCGAATCGCCTCGTTCGTCGTATCGTTGCAGGGACGGGCGAATCGCGTACGTGGACTTTGGAAACGTCGCGCAACTGACGCAGACGAACAAAGAGACGCTCATCGACGCGGTCGTGCACGCGGTGAACGAGGACTACGACTCCATGGCGGGCGATTTCATCCGCCTCGGGTTCTTATCCCCCGGCACGGACGTCCGACCGATCGTGCCGGCGTTGGAGAACATCTGGCAAGACGCGAGGTGCGTTCTGATTCACACTGGTTCCCATACGACCGCGTTGGCGTGGTGAACGCCGATCCTTAAGGACTTTTGCCGTCGTCTCTCTCCGCCCATCCGTCGCTTTCAATCCCCGCCCTCGGCGCCTTTCAACTCCGCCAACTGACGCCTTTCAACTCCACCCCGACGTTCGCTCGTGTAGAACCGCGTCGCTCGCGAATTTCAACTTTCGAACCGTAACCGCCGCGTTCAACGAGCTCGTGTATCAGTACCCCATTCGCATCCCCGAGCGCTTCTCGCTCGTGATTCGCTCGCTCCTGACGCAAGAGGGCATCTGCATGACGCTGCAGCCGGACTTTCGGTTCCTGGAGGTGGCGTATCCGTACGTCGCGAAGAGGCTACTCACCGACCGCGACGCGAGCCTTCGCGAGCGCCTGCTTCAGGTGCTGTTCAACAACCAGGGCAAGTTCCAGTGGGCGCGCCTCGAGAACCTGATCTCGCTCGCCAAGTCCGGCGGCGACGGGTCGAAGTTGGACCTCACGGACACCGTCGCGGACGGCGCGCAGCTCTTGGTCACGGACGAGGACCTGCGAAGGCGGCTCATTCTCGCCGCGACGGAGGACGACAGGCTGCGCGTGGACGAGATCGCGCGGCTCGCGGAGCTTTTGCGGGACGACGTCAAGGTGGACGAGCTCGCGAGGGAGGCGGTGACGGGCGGGCCGGAGTTTCTTCGGAAGATGGCCCTGAGCTGGTCGCAGAAGGTGCTCAGCAAGTGATCAATCCGCGTCGGCGGGCGACGGAAGACCTACAGTACGGCATCTATTTTTTCCAATCGTTTTTTCTTTCTGTTTCGGGGGAGGGGGGGTCCCGACGCGACGGCCGAGGGGGCGGCGGGGAGGTCGCGAGGCGCGGCGGGCGGCTCGCGGCTCGGGACGGTGTACCACATATTACTTACGCGCGCGCTGTTTCGTGATGAATACGACGTAGAGCTATGCTATCATCGCGCGCGCGACGACGAGCCGCCGCCGAAACTTCGCGACCGCCGACTCGAGTGAAAGTACCGTAGTTCGAACGGAATACGTAGTACGGCAACTGTATGATACAGTATGCGTATCATCAGTCTAAAAATACGAAACTCGAAACGCGCGCGATCTCGATCCACGTGTCCCCTCCTCCGGCGGTCAGGGGGTGCCGGCGCGGATAAAGGGACCGACCGATACCGATCGACGTCGCACGCGCGCGCGCCGAGCGACGCGCACGCCGCCGCGCTCCTTCAGGGCACGCCCATCCCGTCGCTGTCGTGACGTGACGTCCGTCGCCGACGCGCGATATGGCGATGGCAATGGCGACGACGACGCGCGCGTCGGCGACGCGCGTCGGCCGCGTCGTCGCGCCTCTCGCGACGCGAACGACGCGATCGGTCGTCGCCGCGTCGTCCGTCGTCGCCTCCGCCGCGTCTCCGCGTCTGGCGACCGTCCGCCGCCGCGCGTCCGTCGTCGTCGCGTCCGCGTCCGCGTCCGCGACGAAGAGAGACGCCGCGGCGCCGCTCGCGGTCGTCGACGCCGCGCCAGCGCGCCTTGTGGACGACGATCGACCCCGCGAGTCGTCGTCGTCGTCGTTCTGGCGAGCCATCGCGCCGAAAACGACGAACGACGACGACACCTCCGCGTCGATCCTTCGCGCGCTCGCGACCGGCGGCCTCGCGTCGCTCGCGCTCGCGTCGCTCGCGCACCCGGAGCTCGCGCGCGCGGGCGAGGACGCGCTCGCGCTCGCGGCGGAGGAAGACCCCGTCGGGCTCTTCGACGGCTTCCTCTCCGCCTTCCTCCTCATCTTCTTCAGCGAGATCGGCGATAAGGCGCGTTCTGATTCACACCGGTCCCCATACGACCCAATCGGCGTGGTGAACGCCGTTCCTTAAGGACTTTCTCTCCCGTCGTCTCTCTCCGCCCAGGGTCCCTCGCTTTCAATCCCGACACACCTCGACGCCTTTCAACTCCGCTTCTAACGCCTATGAACTCCACCCCGATATCATCGCTTTGTATGGAACGACCCAAAGACGTTTTTCATCGCCGTGCTCCTCGCGCTGCAGCAGGACAAGGCGACGGTGTTCGCGGGAACGTTCGGCGCGCTGGCGGTCATGACCGTCATCTCCGTCGGCATCGGGCAGGTGTTTCACCTCGCGGACGAAGCCCTCGCGGGATTCGGCGCGTCGTCGTGGGACGATTACCTCGCCGTCGCGCTGCTCCTCGTGTTCGGCATTCAGGCGCGTTCTATCTCACACTGGTCCCCATACGACCGCGTTGGCGTGGTGAACGCCGATTCTCAAGGACTTTCTCTCCCGGCGCATCTCTCCGCCCAGGGTCCCTCGCTTTCAACGCCCGCCCTCGACGCCTTTCACCTCCGCTTCTGACGCCTTTGAACTCCACCCCGACATCATCGCTTTGTATACAACGACCCTCAGACCATCTTGAGCGCGGAGGAGGAGACCGCGGAGGAGGAGGAGGAGGACGCGAAGATCGCCGTCGCCGGGATGGAGTTCGACGGCAACGCCGCGCTGGTGCTGAGCACGTTCGCGCTCGTGTTCGCCGCCGAGTGGGGGGATAAGAGTTTCATCGCCACGATCGCGTTGTCCGCGGCGGCGAGCCCGGTGGGCGTCATCGCGGGCGCCGCCGCGGGGCACGGCGTCGCGACCGCCATCGCGGTCAGCGTCGGGGACATCCTGAACAAGAGCGATCTGGTGAGCGAGAAGGTGATCAAGTACACCGGCGGCGCGTTGTTCATCCTCTTCGCGATCCTCACCGCGCTCGAAATTCAGTGATGAGGCGAGCAAGCGAGGAGGACGACGGACGAAAAGTTTTTATTCGATCTATTTATTAATTACTCAACGCGCGTGCGCGTACCTCAAACGCCGCCGCCGTCGTCGTCGCCGCCGCCCTTCTCCTCCTTCTCAACAACCTCGGGCGGGGAGAACATCGCGATCGGCAGCGGCGACGCCTTCGGCTTCGGCTTCGGCGGCGGCGCGTCGTCCTCCTTCGCGCTCGCGGCGACCGCGTCGCTCCGGCAGTCCCCGGGCGATCGCATCGCGCGCATCGCCGACGCGGCTCTCCGGTCGATCCGACGCGCGATGGCGTCGGACGTTTCCGACATCTCCGACAGCTTCCATGTCCCCCGCGGCGGGCTCCGCGGCGGCGGCGGCGGCGTCGGCGTCGCGCGCGTGAGGCGGTCCACCGCGGCGATCACGGGCGACTCCCAGTCCCACGCCGCCGCGGAGGGACTCCTCTCCCGGGGTGTCGGGGTGGCGGCGGCGGCGGCGTCGTCGACCGCGCCTTCGTCGACCGCGAAACCGAACCTCGACCCTCGCCGCGAGGTTCCTTTGAACCCGTTCCACGCGACCGAAAACGCGTTGAACCCTCCATTTCCCGTCGCGTTCGCCGCCTCGAGCTGCGCCCGGAGCGCCTCCACCTCCGCGCTCTTCTCGCGCAGCGTCCGGCCGACGCTTCGAAGCTCGCTCTCCGCGCGCTTCGACGACGGCGACGGCGTAACCGCCGCGTCGTAGCCGTTACAAGTGTCACCGCTGTTACCGCGCCACGGCATCGGCGACGTCGCGATCTCTCTGCGACTCGCCTCCGCGGTCGCTAACGCGTCCTCGAGCTCTCTGCGTCTCTTTTCCTCGTCCGCCTTGGTCTCGATCATCGCCGCGACTTTTCGCTGCATCGTCTCCGCGCTCTTCAACGCCGCGATGGCCCTCGCGCGATCCGCCGCCGCGGCTCGAAACGCGCCGTCGAACGCCGCGGTCTGCCGCTTCGCGTCCACGACGACGCCGACCGCGTCGGTTCGTATCCCCGCGATCGCGTCCCTCACGGCCACGCGCGTCAGCGTCGCGACGTCCTCGCTCTGCTCGATCGCCTCCCTCGCCGCTTCCTTCGCGGCGGCGACGCGCACCGTCATCGCGTCGATCGCCGATCGCGTCGCGCGCGTGAACGCGTCCGAGTCCTTCACCGCCGCGACCGCGACCGCGTGCGCGTTGACCGCGGCCGCCTCCGCGCGGACGGTCAAACGCTCGCATCGCTCGGACGCGGTCAACGACGTCGTCGTCGCGGCGGACATGTCCGTCGACGCCTCCGCGGCGACCGTCGCGTGTTCGCGCGCCGCCGCCGCGTCCGCCGCGCACGCCGCCGCGTCGGACGAGATCCTCTCCGCGAGCGCCGCCGCCTTCGCGGTCGCCGCCTCGGCGCCGTCCATCTTCACCGCGACGTCCGCTTTGAACGCGCCGAGCTGATCGGCGACCGCGTCGATCGCGTCCGCGACGGCGGTCTCGACGAGCGTCGCGCGCGTCGACGCGCGCGCCTCGCCCTCGGCGACGCGTCGCTCGAGCGCCTCGGCGCTCGCGACCGCCTTTGCCGACGCCGCGACCGCGTCGCCCGCGTCCGCCAGCACGCGCTCCGCGACGTTGACGCCGTCGGCGCACTCCCGCGCGCACTCGAGCGCGAGCTCCGCGGCTCGCCTCGCGTCGGCGACGCGCGCTTCCGTCTCCGCGCACCGCGCCTCGATCACGGCGGCGCGCTTCTCCGCGCGGACGACGCGCATCCACGCCTCGTTCGCCGCGAGCTCGTGGCCCTCCTCCGCGGCGACGCGCGCTTTGAGCTTCTCCTCGACCGCGGTGAGTTTTATGCGCGCCTTGGAGAGCTCCGTCGTCGCCGTCGTCGCTTCCGCGGCGGCTGAGGGTCGTTGTATACAAAGCGATGATGTCGGGGTGGAATTCAAAGGCGTCAGAAGCGGAGTTGAAAGGCGTCGAGGGCGGGCGTTGAAAGCGAGGGGTGGGCGGAGAGATGCGCCGGCAAAAGTCCTTAAGAATCGGCGTTCACCACGCCAACGCGGTCGTATGGGGACCAGTGTGAGATAGAACGCGCCGCTCTCCGCGGCGGTCGCCGCCGCCGCCGTCCTCGCGTCCACCTTCTCCGCGAGGCGCGCGATGGCGGCGTTGAGCGCCTCCGCGACCGCGGCCTGGTCCTTCGCCCACTCCTCCCTCGCGTCGTCGCGAGTGCGCTGAAGCTCGCGGCGCGCGGTGGCGGCCATCTCGTCGCGGACCGCCTCCGCGGCGGTTTGAGCGTTTTTTTTTGCCGAGTCGTCCGCCGTCGCCGCCGCCGCCGCAAACGCCGCCGTCGCCGACTCTGCAGCCTCGACGCGCGCGCGCAGCGCGATGACCGCCTCCCTCGCGCGCGACCGTTCGTCTTCCACCGCGTCCGCGACGGTCGATATCCGCGTCGCGACGCGCGCGTCGAGCGCTTCGATCGCCGCCGCGACGCGTCGCGTCGCGTCGCCGGATTCCGCCGCGGCGCGGTTTTCCAGTCTCGCCGCCGCCGCCGCCGCCGCATGTGCCGCCTCCGCCGCGTCGTCCACGCGCGCGTTCAACCGCCGCGACAGCGACTCCACGGCGTCCTCGAGCAACACCGCGCGCGAGGTGGCGATCGACGCGGCGTCCGCCCACCCGGACGCGCGGCGTTCCGCGTCCTCGTTCGCTCTTTCCAACGCGGCAACGCGCTCGGCGAGCGCTCCGACGTGCGCGTAGACGTCGCGCGCGCGGTCGTCGTCGCGACGGTTGATATCCACCGCCGCCGCCGCCGCGGCGCGGTGCGAGGAGGCGCGGCGTTTGGAAGACGAACGGTCGCGGTCGCGGTCGGCGCCGGCGCCGGCGCCGTCTCCCCCGCCTCCGCCGCCGCCGCCGCCGCCGCCGCGCGATGCGCGATGCGCGCGCACCGCCGCGCGCTCCGACGTCGTCGACGCTATGACGTCGCGCTGTTCCTGTACCGTGCGCTCTAACGCCGCGATCCGCGCGAGCGCGTCCGCGGCGGTGGCGTCGACGGCGGGCGGCGGCGGCGGCGGCTCGACGGTGGTCGCGGGTGGTTCGTTCTTCAGCGGCGAGAGCGACGCTCGTCGCGCGATGAGTCGCGTCCCCGGCTTCGGCATCGCGCCGCCGCGCGCGCCCGCGCTCGCGGCGGTCTCGAACGCCTTCGCCATCGACGCGACGGAGCCTGCCGTCGCCACCGGCGCGGCGTTCTCGTCGTTCTCGGCCGCGACGCCCTCGGCCGCGGGCGTGATGACATCGTACACATCTCGCTGGCATCCACGAGTCGCGCCGTCGCCGTCGCCGTCGCCGTCGCCGTCGCGCGGCGCCGCCGACGCCGCCGTCGGCGGCGTCGCCGCGGCGTCGCGCCCTCGCGCCGTGTGCGACGCGGCGACCTCGCGCGCGATCGCCGCGACGTCGACGTCCGGGAGGCGCATCGTCGAGTGCTCGTCGCGACGCTCCTTCCTCTCGGCCGCGACGAAACGGTCGGATATGATAAAAGAACCGGAACGCGCCACGCGCTTTCCGACTCCTTGCCGACTCTTCGCGGAGCTCTTCATCGCGCGGCGCAAAATATCAAGGGTCACCCGCGACCGCACGCGCGCGCACGCATCATGGCGTTCCCGCTCCTCCGCGCCGCGCGCGACGGGCTCGCGACGCGCCTCATGAGCGCCGCGCCCGCGGCGTCGACCGCGATCTTCCAGGTGCGTCGTCGGCGTCGAGTCAGTCCTTAAGGATCGGCGTCCACCTCGCGAACGGGGTCGTATGGGGACCAGTGTTCGAGTCGTTCGATCGGTCGATCGCTCGCACGGTTTTGGGCGCGAATGAATGATGTTGAATTATTCCGCGCCGATCGCCGCCGCCGCCGTCGGCCGCGTCGTCGCCCGCCC